CATAATGGTTTTGCCATTTCACCAATGGGAAACCTGAGGTTACTAGAGGCTGTTAACATGCTGGGCTAACATAGCAGCTGTCAAACTCAGAATTCAAACCTAACATTTTTATTTTCAAAGCATATATACTCTCTTGTATGTCAGACACTGCCTCTCTGCATCAAATTTTTTCCTTATAACACTTTTAAAAAACTCTAGGAAACATAAATCTTATTTTAGAAGTACTTATATATATTTCAACAACAATATAAAAATGCTTTCCCTTCTATTATACTGGGTTTTATTTGTATTTCCTCCTATAACACTCTGTATGCTCTAAGAGAAAAGAAATAATTTCAATATATCTTCCCCAGTACCTAGAAGCTGTTTTTATAATGTTCAATCTGTTGAAACAAATGAAACCTATAATGATCCTCAGAGTTTTTTAACTGACCTTAAGTCTAAATAAATACTTACAGTGGGTAGACAGCTTCATGAGTACAGTGTACTGTGGTAACATAATCTGGACTTGGGTTGTAAAGCATCGTGTACCAATCAGAAAGCATCAATACTCGACATGAACGGATATAAAGAACACCGACAGGATCACTCACAAGTAAGGTGATGATAGCTGCCATACTGCATTCAAATAATGCAGTGACATGTTGGAAAAGTGCACTGGAGCTAGAAAAACAGAGAGTCATGATTTCCAGAAAAATTTCAATATTGAGATTTAATAAAATCTTAATAAAACAAAGTACATGTTTCAAGATTTTGATTCTAGAAAAAAAATTTCACTGCAAGATCCTAAAACTAAAAAATCTTCTAAAGAGATCAGAAAAGCCAAACATAAGAAAACTACTTGAGAAGGGTGCTCCCTTATTTTTTAAAAAAGGATATTCATATCCCAGAGGATACTGTGCTAATATTATTTAAAGATGTAACAGAAGAGCAGAAATTAGGTATCTACTTTATATCTTTATTATACTGCCAAATTGTTATTAAATTTTTTTAGTTATCTATGCATCATTTTAAATTGCCTTAATAAGTACATAGAAGATGATATGTAACATGTCAGTTATAAGGTATAACAATGTAATAAACACTGTGAGCTCACTGCTTAACCCAGCAACTAAAACATGCTCAACAACTTATAACTATTTCTTAGTTCCTCCCCATTCCACACTCCTAGTGGTATCCATTATGCTAAATTGTTTTATTGGGTTTTCTTCTAAATAGTTTTCATCCCAATTACATTTGTGTTTCAAGATTACTCTGTTCAGTTTGGCTCATTTAAATCATATTCCTCTAATGTGAGTCTTTTGGGCTTTTTTTCCCATTCAAAATTACATTTCCAAGATTTGTCCATGACATTGCTTATAGCTAAGCTTCAAGCATTTTCACTTCTGTGTAAGATTCCACTGTGTGACAGTACCATGATTTATCTACTTTAGTTAAACATGATGCAAATATCTTCCTCTCAGTTTGTGGGCTCAATTTTCACTTTCTTTGTGATCTTTATGAACATGTTCAAAATTTTAATACAATTGTCTTTGATAATTTTTTAACAAAGAGGCTGTTAAATGCTTTAGCAGTTTAAGTGCTTTATTCAGATACTTCTATACCTCAATATAAGAAAATATTATCCTACGTTTTCTTCTAAAATTTTTAAGGTTCTGCTTTTCATATGTCAATCTCTAACTCACCAGAATAGATTTTTGTGTAGGATCTAACTTTAGATATTCCCATATGGAAATCCAATTGTCTCAGAAACAGCATTTTATTGAATATGCATTTCTTTCACCCAACTAACTTGCCATGCCACTCCTGCTATAAAAAGTTTCATACATAATTCATCTCTATATGGTCTTTCTAATCTTCTGCCTCAAAGGAGCCAGTCTCTCCTGGGGCAACTTCATAAGTATATTTTCCAAGATCCTATAAGGGACATGCCAATCACAGGAATCAAATGAAATCTATAATGATCCTCAGAGTTTTGAGACAGGTTCTCAATAAGCTGCTGAGGCTAGCTTTGAACTCAGGATCCTCATGCCTCAGCCTCCCAAGCTTCTGGGATTATAGGTGTATGCCACTGCATCTGGCTT